AGATTCAGACGTTAAGATTCAATTTTTCATAGATGATGAGGTTTCATGCTGCGGAACAGTTGCAAAAATAAATCCTATAAAGGATATTAGCACAATTAAGATATCAAAGAACGGAACAACAACTGAACTTCATTTAACATATAATGATATTTATAATAAAATAGTTGATGAATATAAAATATCACTTGAAAAATTCTTTGTTAAGGCTATTTAATATTCAAGCATTAACATTATCGAATAATAATCCTTTGAATCATAATCAATAATAATTGACCTTTCACCAGTTTCTATCGTTTGTTTTATTTCTTTTTGTTCCCCACTATCTGGATCGGTCATTGTAATTGTTTTTGTTATAGTATCAGCTTTATCTTTAACTTCAATCTTTTTTCCATCAGGATATTTAAACCAAAATTCCAAAAATTCGATATTGTCAATCTGTTCATATTTTAATCTATCAATTACATTTTTAATACCATCTGAAAATCTTATGAAATGGTCATTATATGGGTTTGATTGAACTAAATTTGAATGAAGTGAAATATAACCTGTTGATGAATATGACATTGACTCATATTTTCTGAAAACACTAAAATTTATAACATGAATGAATTTCTTATTCGTTGAATTTATGAATTCTTGAGGTAATCTTATTCTAGTTTTATTTATCACTGGAAAATAACGCTTTACCATATTTTTAATCGTAATAAAAATGTCAATTATCAATATTATTTCGAATAATAACTGTGAATTAAATTTAACAGTTAGCGGAATTTATAATGTTACTCTCGTTTCTGTGAGTGGTAAATTTAATCCCATTCTTTTAGACCCTTCAGATTATATATCATTTATTAAAGATGACCTTGAAAAAACGTATGATATGTATATAAATAATGTGATAGCGAAATGGGATATTAACATGATTTTAAGTTATTTAAATGAATCATTTATCGTATGGTATGAAGAAAATTTTAAATCAAAACCGATAAACTTTTTGAACTTGATGAAATAAATAACCTTATTAAATTTCCGCTGAAAATTAAATTTTGTACTCCTCATCTTCGTTCATTGTTGGGGATATTAAATTTTGAAAAAGATGTTGGGGATGTTTTGTATTCTGACACTGGTTCCAATTTCATTTTAATCAAATGTGATAAAGTTAATACCCCAATGAGATTTTCACATCAAACATTAGACCCTAACTCTTACCCATCAATACAAAACATTTTATCCATCAACTTAAACACATTTTCTTTATCATATCCGTTTCAATTATCCGGGAATTCATTTATTCTTCATTCAAAAGATTTATCAAATATTAAATTTAGAATAACTGACCTATTTGATTGTGATTTAGAATTCATGAATGAAATATTATGGCAATTTCAAATAGAAAAAATAGCTGATGAGATAACAGATTAAATATTTATTTTTAAATCATAATAAATGATTAAACAACAGCAACCACAGCAACTTAAGGCACAAAGCACCCAGGTCCCTCAGACCATTACATACGCCATATATGCATATAATTCAAAGACGGCAGAACAAACGCAAAGGTTGAAATATGGAGATTTGGAGATAGTATTGAAAAATGACCATTTCGAATTCGTTTGCAAGGGTGGTGCAGTGATATCAAATATAAAAGAAATTTTATTTATGAATTCTAAAATTAAAGGTATAACGGATGATATAACATCAATTCCACCAGAAGAACAGAGATATTACGCATTAAATGCATTTCCTAAAGTTTTGAAGATTGGAAGATTTAATTTAAATGAGGAATTCATAAAAGGTTTCCTAAATGACATAATGAAGAAAGCGGATAAGGAATATGTGGATGAAAAAGAAAGAAATTAAAGAAATGGTTGAATGGTATCATGAATGGACATCAAAGATTTTAAAAACTAAAGCTGATACAGGATGGGTTTCAGGATGTTTAGACCTTAAAGCGGATAAAACATATGTTAACGATGAGTTAGAGAAGAAGGTGGATAAGGAATATGTGGCTAGTGAATTAAATAAGAAGGCAAATTTGGTTTACGTTGATGAAAAAGATAAAGAAATTAAAGAAATGGTTGAATGGTATCATGAATGGACATCAAAGATTTTAAAAACTAAAGCCGATACAGGATGGGTTTCAGGATGTTTAGACCTTAAAGCGGATAAGGAATATGTTAACGATGAGTTAAATAAGAAAGCAGATAAGGAATGTGGATAGTGAGTTAAATAAGAAAGCTAATATATCATTTGTTAATGAAGAAATAAAACAATCAGAGGTCTATTTTACTCCACCATTTTTAAATTTTATGAAATCATCAGATAAAACCTTTGATATAGATTCTTTTGAATGGATATGTTTCGATGGAGTGACCATGTATTTATTTTATACAGCTGGAGTGCTTTATTATTTTAAAACAAATGATTTTAAAAACTATGAATCATTTACTCCATCTGTTTTGAATCCTGATACACGAGAGCCAATCATTAATCCAATAATTTTATATGTTGAATATAATAACGGTAAATTTATGGAATGATAACGGTTGGAGATGATTTTTACCCTTGTTATTCATTCGATTGTATCGATGGTTCAAATGTAATTTAAATCAAGATGCTAAATTTATATTCAAATAATCCTATTAGATGTGTTAATAATAAATGGTACTAATTTATGAAGTCAATCAAATTTTCATTAGTGAGGATGGATAAATTATTATATGTTTAGTATGATGTCATCAGATTTGAAAATTGATTATACAAGTAAGTGGTATTACATTAACAACATGTATTTTATCCTACAAAATGATAAAATTTATTAGATCATCTTCAATACAACAAGGTCAATTTGAACAAATTTTTTCAAGCTGATGGAGACATTGAAGCTTTATGTTATGGATCAAATGTTTATGTTCTCGTTTTCAGGTGAAATGGTCTATTCATATCCTGTAGTGAAATTATAACAGACATATTTATTTATCACAGGATTTATCAAATTGGGAATTGGTTTATTCATTCACTCCAAAACTTACTCAAAATTATAGATTTACAAATTTATTTTATATTGATGGGTATTTCATTGCTTTAGGATGTGGTGATTTAGTAAATATCAGTAGTGATGGAAGAAAACTGGTCTGAAATCACAAAATTTCAAGATGTTAGAAAAGCAATTTTCAAAAAAAATACGTTAATATTGATAACAAAGACCAGTTTTAAATACTCACCCAAATTCAATATTATATAATAAATTCAATATTCATAATGGATTAAATACAATTCTTGAGATATTTACCCCGTTGGTTCGTTTATATACATCAATGAACTCAACAAATCCAGAAACAGTTTTTAGGTTTCCGGACGTGTGGGAGCAGATTGTAGATAAATTCCTCTATTGTGCTAATAGTTCAAAGGAAACAGGAGGTTCGAAGAAAATTAAGAAGCAAACCTTCCACCACACACTCATACAGGAACTACAAACTTTTCTGGCGACCATAGCCACTCATTAAGAGACACCCATTATACAACTCAGAGTATGAAGCTGGCTATGACGTTTATCTCCAGATTATAACCATTCAGCAAAAAAAAGACTTTTCAACAAACTGAACCAGGAGGAAATCATTCACATACTTTCACAAACAAATCCAACAGGCTTGGGTAAAGATTATATGCACCATTTATGACTGTATTCGTCATGGTACCGCATTTATTGAATGAACTAAATATATTTTATGTCTGTAATTAATTAGGTAATGAAGTAATGGATGAACTGCAGAAATAAATTTTATCGTTAATGTTTACGTTAATGGTTTCAGGTTATTCAATAATGACTTATTTTTGAAGAACTGAAGGTGTCACCAGGTCACCATGTGTCACCAGGTCATTTATCTTCTCTGAAAAAATGTGACAACATGACATTTAGACAACAGTCCTGGAAATTTGATGCAGTCCAAAAATAAAGTTAGTTTTAAAATTATTTTTATTTTTTTATTTTGTATGTAAGAACAGAAATGTCAGTCGAAGCAAAAACATTCACAAACAAATCTAATGGCGAAACATTCACAAAAGGCACTTATAATGGTATTGAAGTCTTACGTAGAGACAAGGATGGTTACATTAATGCAACAAAGATGGCAAGAGAAGCGGGAAGGTTAAACCATTTAAACAGATTTCTCAATAGTACTAAAATGCAGGAAATTCTTGAGTTTTGGATGAACGAATACGGTCAAGCCACTTTTGGCTCGACCTCAAAACAAGCTTTTTATGAGCTTACTAAGGGTGTTATAAATGAATTCAAAGGTATTTACATACATCCTGACCTCGTTCATTTTGTTGCTGAATGGTGCTCTGTAAAGTATGCATTTTATGTCAAAGATATTATGGACTCCATAGACAAGAAAGTTCATGAGAAATTAGATGAAGAAGAACTCGAAGATACAGTAGAGAATGCTAAACATTTGTTTGAAGAAGAAGTTAGAAAAACGTGTGAAAAACAATTAGAACATGAACGTGAGAAATGTTATGGTTATAGAGATTCTTCATACGAACTAGACCAATGGGAACAAGAAGATTAAAGAGAGAATTTAGAGAATATGAACTCGCTAAGATAGCATTAGAAACTGCAGAAAAGAAGTTAAAAGTTTGGGGTCGTTTTGTACAAAAATATTGTGAGTAAATGAACCATTTATTTTTATCATAAACGACCAAAAATATATTTTATCGTTAATGGTTTTAGGTTATTCAATAATTAATTATTTTTGAAGAACTGAAGGTGTCACCAGGTCACCATGTGTCACCAGGTCATTTATCTTCTCTGAAAAAATGTGACAACATGACATTTTGACAACAACACAGGAGGAAGGTATTTATGACTTATTTTTGAAGAACTGAAGGTGTCACCAGGTCACCATGTGTCACCAGGTCATTTATCTTCTCTGAAAAAATGTGACAACATGACATTTAGACAACATGGTGGGATTAATGCAAAAATAAATTCAAATCATACTTTATAAAGCTTCATTTACAGGTATTTCATCGTCAGTAAATGAATCCTCATTATCGTTTGGTTCAACCTGTTTATATAATCCTTTCATTTCTTCTTTCAAAACATAACACCATGTTTGTTTACCATCTATTCTTCTCTGTTTCCTATCACATTTATCCTTAATGCTCATTTGGAAATTCTTGTCTTTCATGTCTGATGGTTTGCAGAATAGCGCATTTTTACATGTCATACCTGCACACAATTCATCATAATGTGTATTTATCCATTCATCTAAAGGATTTGTTGATAATTCAATTAAATCTTGTTTGGCTTCAGTCATCGGTATGATTCGTACATTAAATGATGAAAGGTCATATTGCATAAAATATGTTAAAAGGTTATCATAAAATTCCTTTGTGCATGAATTCATCAAATTCTTGAAGTAATTAAATTGACCCTTGAATTTACCATTGACCCTTAAAACCACGTATCTTCTGTCTCCAACTTCAATTTTGACAGGGTAGACGTTGTTAGTTACGAAAATGAAATTGGCAACATTCTGAGCAGTTCTTCTGGGTTGATTCTTTTCATTAATTCTAATCTCATTATCCGTAATAATTGATTTCAAAGCGTTGAAGTTTGCGAGTCTATCTTCACCTACATTCTTGAGTTCATTAAGTACAAGAAACATTTTATTTTCAACTACTGAGTTGAAATTACCCGTTAGCTCACTTATTTCAGTAATGTTTTTACATGAATAACCAGCGAGAAGTTCAGAAATAATGTCTGTGAATCTGTTTTTACCTGTTCCCTGAAGTCCTTTCAAAATAATTGCTGTTTCATTCTTGATTCCAGGATGTTGAATCATTGATGCAATCCAGCCGAGAAGGTATTTATACACTTCATCGTTATTATCACAAATGGCTTCTTTAATGAAATCCATAAACATCTCAATTTTTGAGTAATCAGGCTTTTCGAGAACGTTGTATTTATAACCTTGAAACGTTGAGAAAACATCTGGAGAATCAGATTTAAAGAAAACACCCTTAACGGTTAATGAGGATAATTGATTTAATAGTACGTCCCATGCTGTTATTGTTTTACCTTCTTCTTTAAATAAATTTAATCATTTGAGTGACTCTTTCATGTTTGATTGAAGAACGAATGATATTTGATTCATTTTGTCGTGTATGTTGTAATCTTTCTGAATGAAATATTTGTTTCCACAATCTACAAAACGGATTACACGTGAAATCCTCAATTACTTCAGAACTGTTTTTATACTGATGATTTTCAACCTTGCGTCTAATATCTGTTATCAAAACGAGTCATCAAGTTTGATATCAAATGTTTTTTTGGCTTACGTAATAAAGGTAAAACATATTCATCATAATATTCCTTTTGATAAAGTTTTAGAATCTTCACCAAAACAAATGGAGAAGTCATTAAATGTGCATATCTACTACGTGCTTTTTCAAAATTACTTTTAGCATTTTCTGTTAAACTGCAGAAGTTATAAACGTTCTCGTATGCTTCATTAATTAAATGATTAGGTAACGAATTAATTGCTTGAAACAGTGTGAATAATGTAACTTCTTTTTCTAAATTCATGTTTCCACCGTCATTATGTACTTCAAAATCACAGATGCATCAACTATGCTCTGGGCAAGTTTATCGTCAATGTTTACATCTTTGTTTTCATTCATTATACTCTTTATTTCTTCGTTCTTCTGTTCAACTCTTACCTTAATATTCAAATCATTTAATATATCGTTTACTGTTCTGGTTAATGTTGAATCATAACTTCCACGAATGAATGAGTATGTATTGATTGGTTCTGATGCATTCTTGCGAACTTTGAATCAGCCATAACTACTAATGAACGCTTTGATTCATCAATAGAAGTCATTATGTCAATATCATAATCATTGGAATAACATTTAATCATTCTGTTCGAAACTGCATAGAAGAAATTAGTGTTGCAATAAATGTGGAAGACCTCCTGAAGCGGTTTTAACGATAACATCTTTATCCGAAAGTTTTGATAAAATGTCTTTTCCAACTTTGTTCTTTAAGTTCATCATTGTACGATTTATTGATATCAACATCTATAATCGTTAAATTTGAAATTTTATTTACTAATAAAGCTGTACCAGTTTTCCTTCCTCTTCCTCCATCATGTTTGAGGTAGTTATGTAAATCAATCTTGTTTTCACCAATTCTTTCGTTGAGGGTTTTAGTTTCTGCCACAACTAATTCCTCAGCTAATGAATCAATAACTTGTTCATCAGAAACGATATAGTTGTTGTTGTTGCTGTTGTTGTTTGTTGCTGTCATTTATATAGGAATAAAAAAATAAAAATAATTTTAAAACTAACTTTATTTTTGGGTCATTTACACTCATTTACGATGAAGTCATGACAAATCATTTCCTGTGTTGTTGTCAAAATGTCATGAGGTTAGATCTAACCATCTACCCTAAAAATTATTTTACTCAGAATTTTGTATAAAAAAAACAACCGCCGGAATTCAGACGGTTGCTATATTCTTCACAAAACATTAACGTAAACATTAACAATAAAATATATTTTTGTCTGATTTACACTCATTTACGATGAAGTTCTGACAAATCATTTTCTATGTTGTTGTCAAAATGTCATGTTGTCACATTTTTTCAGAGAAGATAAATGACCTGGTGACACATGGTGACCTGGTGACACCTTCAGTTCTTCAAAAATAAGTCATAAATACCTTCCTCCTGTGTTGTTGTCAAAATGTCATGTTGTCACAAACTTTAGAACGGCATAATTTAAATTTTTATTTTTATCATAAATGGATACCCCACAAGCTCAAAATTTACCACGAATCATAACAAGGGAGGAAATGATAAAAATGATGCAAGAACTGCTAAAAATAACAAACCACTAAAACTTGAGAAAATGTGGTTATGCAGTAATGATGGAAAGAGAGATGTTGTCAAAGAGGAATAAAAATTAAATTTGGATTGAGTTTAAAAATTCATCTTTATTAAATTCATCTCTTCCAATCAATTTATTTATTCTATTAAATTCTTTTATTTTTGCTTCACTCAGTTTAAGGATTGAACGGTAAGTTTCTAATTTTTCGATTATTTCTTTATCGTTTTCAGTTCCATTAGTTTTGGGCATCAACCCCACCGCATTGTGGCTTCTTTTTGTAATAGCATATTTTTGATTTAATTCTGTTTAGTTTCTTTTTATATTCATCGTCTGGACTCTTGGCTGCTTCGTTGTCACTCATTTCTTACGAAATAAAAAAATTAAATATTATTTAAATATAATGGAGTAATAAAATAAATCGGAATTTCTATTAATTTATTGTCAACTTCAACTAATGCATTGCCGTTAATATATCTAACAATTCAGCTATTGTGTCAAATCTTCGTCTTCTTTTTGTCATTGAATTTATCAGTTTTTCCATAATCGAGATGAATTAAAACTTTATTTCCTTGTTTAAAATTCATGAGCCCCGAATTAATTTGTTCACGTTTAACATCATTCAACCTTTCCATTTGCTTTCTAATATATTCCCATTCTTTTGAAATATCATTTTTCATTTCCACTGGTTTCATGTTTATAGTTCTATGCCATGTATTATTGTAATAATATACTAACTGCTGTATGATGGAGTCATGATTTCCATCCCAGTATATCTGACCGTTAACCCCTAACGCATCTCTAAGAGTTCTCATTACCGCATCAACTATTTTATTATGAAACGTATATGGAGAGGATGAGAAGAAAAAATTAATTTGGGGAAATAATGAGTCATAGCTGCCTGAAATCCTTTATCACCATCACCCCTGATATTATCTACTCTTTCATGATCTAGTAAGTATTGAATAGCTCTTCTTGTTTCCTGTTCTGTTTTCCCTTTCACCGGAATGCAATATAAATATCTGGTGTTAATGTTAATGGCAAATAAATAAGTAACGTTTCCTTTTGAATATTTAAATGATCGATTTCGTATGAATTGGATATGGAGCAAATGAAGGGCGACTAAATTTTTCCTTTAACGGTTGAATTTTCGGGTCAATTGGTTTATTTAATATCTTGAAATCCTTTTTAAAATCTTTTTGCTTCTTAATGTTTGAAATGGATATAATAAAGTGAATGATGAAGGATTAACTGAAGGAGGAGGAGGTACTACTGTTGGAGGTTTTGGTGTTGTAAGTGGTTTAATTTTATCTGCTTTGATTTTGGATTTCATTCCTTCCTTCATTAATTCTGGATGTATTCTATTCATTTGTTTTAAATATGCTGTATATAAAGGTTTGATATACTTTCCCGCTTCGAGTTTATGTTGAAGGATGAATTCCAAAAGTTGATCTTCATTTAAAAGTCGGGCTGAATATGGTTTAACTAATGAATCATAAATTAAAGCTTGTGCATCATTTATGGTCTGAAGGACCTGGTGTGTTTTGTTCCTTTTGTTTTTGTGGCTCAGGATTATATAATTTATATAATTCATCAATATCTTCTTCTGTTAATACTTTATTTTTGAAATCTTTCAACTGTTTAAGCTGTGATTTAGTTTTTCCCTTTGAATATTCATTTTTTTAATTTTGTCTTTAATTTCAGAAATTATTTATTATGATATTTCAAAATTTTCTTATAATATGGATAATAATATTCCATATCATCACCCGTTATATTGTTATCATATTTTTGGAGATATGATTTTAATTCATAATAACTAAGAATTTTTTGATTAAGTACTAAATCAGCAATTAAATTTTTTAAATCTGTGTTATCCATTTATATAAAAATAAAATCAATGTTTTAAGGGTGCCCACCTCTTTGAATCATAGTATCAAAACCATTATTAACGGTTCCTTTTGTCTCTTCTGTGGTATTTTATTAAATAAATGGCATACAACATCCATTTTCACAACATACAGCCTTAGTGTGTGCTCCTGTTAATGCAGTCTTACCAATTGTTAAGCGAGTCATTGACCCATTTTAAGTTGTAAATTAATATTTGACCATCAAATATCAATTTATCATTTATTATATCCAAATAATTTTTAGGTGTTAATTGTTTATTTTGTCGTAAACTAACACCTTTCATTTTTTGTGCAATCTTTTTAAAATCACTTCCATCAATTGAACCGTTGAATGATGTATAACATTTAGGGCATAAAGCAACCATGTTATCACCTTGTTTCTCAATTGCTAAACCCAATAACTTCTTCTCATGTGCTTTTTCTTCAGCTTTATTCTTTAATTTAGGTTTAAATTTCTCATCAAAACAAAAGAAATCAAATGGTGCGAATTTGAAAATGTTTTTATCATAAAATTGTTTATCAGTAACAATTGCTTGAAATGCTTGAGTGTTAGGAAG